TCTTTCACTGATCAGAATCTGCCCAAAGGAAAGAAATAAGCAATAACCTCACATGAAGCTCAAAGAATAAAGGAACATATAGACATGCCCTGAAAATATTGGTTAGTAAAAGTCAACATTTGAAGATGTTGCAACATTAATTAACAAAAATTGTGGAAGAAAGAATGAGCAGAATGGTGCCAGCTGAAATTCAACAGGGATAAATATATGGCAATTACACTGAATTTGAAGCACTCTTTCTTCAGAAAGAAGGAACTCCTATTGCAACTACTCCAAGGGAAAAAAAAAAAAAATTGACCACTACCCAGACAGTTTGGTGGGAAAAATTAATTAAAAAATAATCCATAAAAACTACTCAAAATACCTGTGTTCACTTTCTGATTACCAGCAGTATTTGTTATATGAAAAGTGAGGTACAACATGCAAGGAAAAAAAAAAAGCCATGGTATTTGTGATCATGATATGTTAGATTTGAGGAAAGCAATCAAAAAAGAAACTGTAAAAGCAGAAGGATTCCCAAGACAAGCAACCAGTGATTAAAGACTCTGAATGTCTTTCACCTGAAACAAATCAAAAAGGGCTTTTTTTTAAACATTGGAATGAAATGAACGTAAGAGGATATGACAGAAATACAATTTAATGTACGATACATACAAAAAGTAGATCATCCAATTTATGCTTTAACAACAAAGAAAACCCCAGGAGAATGGTCAATAAATTGAGGAATAACATTATACATACAAGACACCACATAAATCACATAAACCTGAGGAATTCATCAACACAAGACACTAGAAAAAAGTTTAAATAAGATTCAGAAATAATTACACATGCATATATGCAATCAAAACAGCTATATTATATAGGATATTTTAAAAGTGTGTTTTAAGCCTTCATGTCAGGGTCATAAATCAATCACTACCTGATAGTAATTAAAAAGAAGTGTCTACTGCAGATTTAATTATTGCCCAGTGAAATTCCTTCAGAGTATTTTTCTACTGGCCACAGCCAAAAGAAAACAAGAAAAAATTGATTTTAAAATGGCAATTTCCCTATTTCTACCAGATTGATCCAGGCTTTTACAGGTGATAAACTTCTATTAAATCATCTTTAATTAAAAAAAAACCCAACAACAAAACCCCAACCAAAGAGCACACACACACACCCACCACCACCCCCCCACACCCCCCAAACTACAAAACCTGGGTCATTTAACCTTTTCTGTTCTTTACAGTAGTTAAAGAAATTGACTATCCCCAGTAATATGCACTACAGAATCCATATTACTAAGGTTGGAAAAGACCTTCAAGATCATCAAGTCCAACCATTAATCCAGTGCCACCGTGTCCCCTAAACCATGTCCTGAAGCACCACATCCACACGTTTTTTGAACACTTCCAGGGATGGTGACTCCACCACATCCCTGGACAGCCTGTTCCAATGCTTGACCACCCTCTTGGTGAAGAAATCTTTCCTAATATCCAATCTAAACCTCCCCTGGCGCAACTTGAGGCCATTTCCTCTCGTCCTATCACTAGTTAGTTGGGAGAAGAGACCAACACGCTCATTGCCACAACCCCCTTTCAGGTAGTTGTAGAGAGTGATAAGGTCTCCCCTCAGCCTCCTCTTCTCCAGAGGGGAGACCTTATCACTCTCTACAACTACCTGAAAGTAGTTGTAGAAAAAAAACAGTTCCCTCAGCCGCTCCTCATAAGACTTGTGCTCCAGACGCTTCACCAACTTCTTTGCCCTTCTTTGGATACGCTCAAGCACCTCAACGTCCTTGTTGTAGTGAGGGGCCCAAAACTGAATGCATTATGCACAATGAAGACCTTTTAAAATACAAAATGACCACACAGTATTCAAAAGCCAAATATAAAGAAGAAGAGGACACCCCCCACACACACACACACTTATGAAAAAGAGTTACCCAATATGAACCCTACCCATTCAGTCTAGATATGAAGGGTGAAATGACATTCAAATGTGTTACGTTAACAGAACCAAAGGCAAGGCTACTTCCCTTTTCTGCTGGAAAGTGACAAAATGCTGGATGAGTGACAAAAAGAAATGGAAATTAAAATCACTGCTGATTTTATTCCAATTAT